CCCAATGTTGTCAGCAAATACGGATTACCCGCAAATCCTTTCATAAGTTGACACAATGAAGCCTCGCTCGCAATGCCCTCAGGCGGAGTCATGGCTATTTCAATCCCTCCCCCTTCGGCGAAACCCCATCATCCTCTTGCTGCAATAGAAACGTCCGTGAGTGCTTTCACCCATGCCCTGCAACGTCCCACCCGCGCTTGACCAGAAGGCAGACTGCAGCTGCAGACATAGTCCAAGGTGTATTGATAGGCCGTTTTGGGAGAACATTTTTGGGGTCCATCTCTCGCGATCCCTCCACAACTTGCAGGCCGCAGCCTGTGACAATGTGACACCGAGGAGGCCCCTGCATTTTATTATTTGTTACTGGTTTAGCTGGCCCTCTGTGGCTTTTGCTTTACGATTTTGTAACCATATGCCATTGAGCCTGCGTGCTGCTCCGTTGAGGAATGCCAGACTATTTAACAGCAGGGGCGACGACCACCGAACCACCCATACAGCCGTGATCCTCTCTCCCGATATCCGTGGATTCACCTCTTCTATTTTACTCCCAGAAGGGAGAGCGAAATACCCGCTCTATAGGAATCATGATATGTATACTGTTTTAGATTTCATGGCACCTACTTGGGCTGATGTCGATGAAAAACACTTGTTCTCGCCATTACGTCGCCCAATTTCATGTACCCAGATGACATACCCAATCTACCTTACCGGCTGACTGCAAAGACATCTCGGCTTGGTATCAAAGACTGCCGGACTTCGTCTCACTTTGCCCTTATTCCGCCCCTCGCATCTTTGCCACCTTTGTGTGTCATACTCCTCTCCACCTCACCGCGCCGACCCGCCTTGTTGAGTTCATGAGCGCGTGCAACTCTCAAGTCCTGTATTCACGGTGGCCCTTGTTTGGCCATGGGGTTTCTCGGTCAGTCTGGGTTTCGTCCCCCTCCCCAATGCGACTAGAAAATCGACTGATGCTGCAGGGAAAAACTGAAAAATGTGTTTCTGATCCTGAACGGTGTCCGATGTTTTGACTTGCACTCTGCCCGATATAAGCCTTCTGCCATTTACCTCTGCTGTACTCATCTTGTAACAGCCTTCCAGGTTTTGTTGTTTTTTGCCCTTGTTGTGTGCTTTTCTACAAAGTGGCCTAGCGACTCCACTGCCACGAGCTACAGGGTGTTTGAGAGTAATTACATCACAGCCAACTGCGCTCTCCTCCCAGTTCGTCTATCCCCCCTTGCCGGGTGGGCATTTCAGCATGCTGTTTAATAGATACGATACCTATCTGTTAATTAATTCATCTTGACTGTGTTTTTGCCTGCCATTTTGGCTGTCGGCTTCCCGCACTCCCTGTCTCCGTGGCACCATGTCAGGATCGCTACCCGTGACAACCGGGCTCTCTCGATATCGTGCACGGCAAGTTTACGAATCCACCGCCCCGCCTCCGTCTCCAACGAATGGCACCATGCAATAACGGTCAGTTCACACTAAGTTGTGAAGGGTCTCTTCATGGGGTGTTTCTGAATTGTCCAACAGGGCTTTCACCTTTTGTGTACTGTGCTTCCACTCCGGCCAAGGTACGTACGGGGAGGTCACTTCCATACTTGGTGCTGTTATTATCCCGCCCTCGCCATTCACAACGTGACGCAACTTTCTTCCGGGCATCCAACACTTCAGTCACCTGTTTGCCATGTCTTACCCGGACCGCCTTCTCTGCTAGCCAATGCCGTTGGCCCATTTGGTCTCATCGACGAACGTTCCATTCCCCCAGCATGCGATAGAGGTATAGTGGCATGCGGAGTAGTGTTGCTTACCATTCGCCTTTGTTCCACCTACCATGACTGGTGTCCGTATTGGCCTTCCTCGACTGATGTTTCCCCGATGACGCAGGTGTTGATTTGTTGCTCCTCTCACCTACTACGTCGGATATGGTAAGGGTTGTCCAATCAGCAATCTGTTCTACTTCGTACATCGTACATAAATTAGTGCATCTATCTTTCCCCCTCTCTCTCTGTCGAGCCGCCGGGATGCCCTCCTCCGTAACTGGCGGATGCTGCAAGACTGTTTTGCTTCCGACCCCAACCGAGTCTCTTGCTGACACATATTGCCCTCCCATGAATGTTCCCTCGACTCTTGGTGAATCTGTCCATTTCTCCCCAGTCACTCTCAACCTTTGCCTATCTATATACTTCCATCTCATATTACCCACCTATTACTGTTTTGTCCGTGAGTCTGATAATCGCATATCATCCAGGGCTGTCATGATGCGTTCCATTTTTCGCACCTGAGGCATCCGTATCAACATAGTACATACACTTCTTGATTTCCTTCTGCAAAGCTGAAATTGAGAGCTTGAGAAAGAAGCCACTAACACATAACCAAGCTTCTCACTTAGACAGCCCGGGACAGTTGAACTCCTGGTTTTACCACCAATATGCATCTTGATTCCAGTCATTACCTCTCTTTTTCACAATTGTAGAAATCTGCTCTCGTCAAACAAAGATTCTCCATGGGAGCCTTCTAGTTGTCGGTTAATCCAGCGCACTGGCCTTCCTTTCCGAGGTCACGGATGTGCATCTGTTGCTGCAGACTCCACTGAAAGCCGTCGATGCAACCAACCTGCATGCATTTCGGACCAATGATAATAAAGGGCATGGGTTTAAGATCAATGACAGCCGATGATCGGGTGAATTGGGAAGAAGTGTGTTTTGTAGTCTAGTTTGTTGTAAGTTTATGGAAGATCTCTTCGTCACTCTATGTATATTAACATCATTTCTAAACGCTATGCTCTTCCTCCTCCCATCTAGTACCTGGGAATCATCTAGAATGCGGACAACGATCCATGTATCGTTCATAAACGCCGCCCAGAATACGCCAAACTCGGAATTCATCTCGAAAGAGCACCAAGGCACTCTGTCCCTCCATAACTTACGTAGCTAGCACGCCAGTCACTCCTGTGGTATCCTGATCATCTACCAGGGAGTTCCCATGACGTATCCTAGTCCAGTCCCCGCTATGCAATTCAGTTTTTTTTTTCAGTCTAAACGTCCTTTTATAGACAGCGCCAGCATTGATTGTCGGATTTTCAAAACACAGGTCTCTTACAGACCACGGTTGAAAATCACCTTGCCGTTCTTGCCTCCCTTACCGTGGAACTCAGGCTCAAGCATTTCAGCACTGATCTCCTGCTGCTGAGGGAAGACAGCCAAGGCAAAGGGAAGAACGGCAAACGAGGTAACAGCAATCAGACCCAGGTTGAGTGTGATCGGAATAACCTTGGCAAGAGTTGGCCTTGAGCGCACGAACTCCTTCTGCAACAAGTTCTTGAACCAGGCCTGCTTCTGTTCGATGTGGTACAGCACCATTGGGGGGATCACCATAATGGGACTACCAGTCAGAACACGACTGGCAGCAGTCTCATAAACAGCAAGCTTAGCGGCGGTGTGGCTCTTGCCCAGTGAAGGCACATCCTTCTCAGACTTGCCTTCAGCCTTGAGTTTCTCCTTCTCCTCCTCAGTAAGGACAGGTCGAACGTCAATGCCTCTGACAATCTCGTCTCGGCGCATCAGGTATGTGTTCAGGCCGCTTGCCGAGGCCACAGCCGCGAAGGGGATCAGTCGGCTAAGGATAGCTCGAGTACCAGGGGCGACGTTGAGGCGAGGGACGATAGCGTTCAGACCAAGAGCGACAGAGACGGAAGCACCGACAGCGGAGAAGTAGGACTTAACCATGGAGGCGGTGGTCATGGGAGAAGACTTGTTGGCATTGGCGCTGTTGAAGGCGACATTGAGCGACTGGTTGGCAACTTGCCAACCAACGATACCAGCAGTTTGGAGGCCGGGCTGGAGCATACCAGCAGTGACGATGAGGTTAGAGAAGACATAGCAGGACATTCGGAAGGGGAGAAAGACGGCTTCACCAGTGTCTAAGTCCTCGTCAGCTTCAGTCTCTCCAAGTATAAAGGATACTCGGGGAACGTACCGGGATGAAGGGTCGAGTCAACAATCTTCTTTGCGCTCCAGAGTTCGGGAGTCATATGCGGGATCTTGCCCGTCTTGAACTCCGTAACCAGCTTCTTCGCCCTTTCGAGACCCGACGTGCCAGCAAGAAGAGTCCTGCGGTACCTAATTAGTTATAAATTCGAAACCCGGGAGTTTTTTCTCTTTTTATTCTTCGAGGCGAGGGGCTTACGAAGGATCGGTGATGCTGATTGTATGGCGCACCCTTCCCATGTAGGTGCTCAAGTCATACTGAGAGACTGGCAACTCTCTCGTGCCCGGCAACGAAGACGACATGGTTTCTCGGCGCTGAGTGCTCAATTAGAGTCGCAAGAGAGGGGCGAAAGCGAGAGAAACAGGAGAGAAAGGCCTCTGGCCAAGAAGGGGAAAGGGATCACTGCAACGGCGCCTTTTTGTGTGATTAACGGGTAGGTCCTGACCGAGGGGAGTGGGAAAAAAATGAGGCGACGATAAGCGCGTCCCGCTTTCGGAGCTGGCGCATTGGCAGGCACTTCCAGCGGCTTGTACATAGGGCGTGCTTAAGCGTTGAGCACCATGACACAGCGCTGTACTGCAGTACTCCATTAGCGCTGGGCAGCAGAGTGTGATACGAAGTACATGTCCATTGTTCCCCCGCGTGAGTGTGGGTGGTGGGAACTGACTAGCGCACATCGGCATCTGCGAAAGAGACTTGGAACGGCATGGCAACCGATACATGCCTGACCGCGGGGTGAGTAATGGGAGATGTGTAATCAAAATTATCGGGCGCGAAGCCGGTGTCATCATATATACTATGTACAAATTTTGATTAGGCTTGGGTGACTTGCAGGCCAACTGAAGTGCCAAGGGTGTATAGAAGGAGTAATAGGTCAGTCAGTCAGACTTATCTATATCTTGCCTCATTTCTACTTCTTCCTTACCGGCCATTACCGAGACATAAGCGTCCAAAATACTATCTAGGCGCAAAAGAAAACTCCAAAAAAAACATTGATAAGCTCTTTGAGACGACCACGCCAGGAGTCGAACCTGGAATCTTCAGAGAGTTCGGTGAGCGAGGCCGAAATCTGACGCCTTAGCCATTAGGCCACGCGGCCGATGGGATACGAGACGTAAAGAAAGAATATGTGCCACAAGGCCAGACTAGACAAGTCGCCGAGGTAGCCAGGCAAATAGTTGCTGGACAAGAAACCTGCACACAATTGTGGGATGTAAACATCAAACAAATCAGCGATGCACTAGCAGTCATGTGCATGGCCGCAATGACGATGGACGTTGCCGAAAAGCCAGGGCTCAGTCAGACATTCACTAAAATATTGTCCCGTGCGTTTCCTCACAGTCCACAACTGGGTTGCCATGTGGCTGACCAGCACGCTCATCAGTGAAGGTTTCAAGACACTTTCGTCTCATCAATACACAAGTTGGTCCAAAACATCTGAGAGCACTATCAAATTCAGGGCACAAATTAGTATGAAAAGGAAAAAAAAGACAAGAAAAAAAGAAAAGAAAAGAAAAGAGATTGGGCAAGAGGACTTGTTGGTTCCGGAAGTGGAATAGAAGCTTTTGTTGTTCCTGCATGTCTATGACTTACAAACAGATACATAAATTTGAAGCCAATAAGTGGATATATCCCGCCTGATCTACATAGCACCATCTATTCCCAAAATATGTCCCTTACTGTACACGGGCTGTAAAAGACCCTATCCTTGTCCATACGTAAACTATTTGCCTTCGCTCGCAGCCGCCAATTGCATCATAATGGCCGACTGAAACGCCGCAGCCTTTTTGAAATCTCCCAGCCGTACGTTCATATGATCGAAAGCCATCAGGACTTCGCCCACATTAAGATCACTGCGGCTGAGCGAATCGGCCTTGACGTAGCGCTGAGAAAAGTGCGTCAGCAGTGTGCGGCGAGCCTTCATGTTAGCTGCTACGCCCAAAGCTTCTGAGATTGTCGAGTGCATCTTCTTCTTGGCATGGGTCAGCATGTCATCGTCGAACGTGCACTCGTGGATGAGCAGATGAGCGCCTTCGCATTCCCGAGCAAAGTTTTGTGAGGGTCGGCAGTCACCAGAGTAGGCGATGCGGAGGCCGGACGTGAGCTCCAGCTGGACAGCGTCAGAGCGATGGCAGTGAGGGACGGCGACTCGCTTGACGGAGGCGAGGTTGAACTCGCTGTCCATATCCTCGGCCGTCACGAAGCTGTTCTCGCCACCAGAAGGCGTGCTGTTTACGAATCGCAAACGGTGATACCCAATATCCTCGATCTGTGAGGCTTCCTCAAGCAACATCTGGTACTTCTTAATACAAGATATTGCCAGTTTGGCATCACTGTTATCCATTGTGCTCTCATACCACGCCTTCACCAGGCTGGGAGTACCCAAGTGGTGATCAGCGTGCAAGTGACTGATGGCGATGCATTTCAAATCACGAAGAATGGCGATGGTTTCTTCTTCGCCAAAGAGACGTCGAATCTGACCAAGTGTACCTTCACCACAGTCTAGGAGGTAGTTTCCCAGCCCGGGAACACGAATGAGAGTCGCCGAGACGTTTCGGTATTTACCAGGGATCGACGATCCGGTGCCCAGGGGAATGATCTCGGCATCTCGGTTAGGGATGTCTGCTTCCTCTTCTTCAATCCTGCGCAGGAAGTCAGGATCTGATGTGACTGATTGGGCCTCGCGGGCAATATTCAGAATATCTTCTCCAACAGTTTTGGCAGCATCAAGCAGGTTCGGAAACGGGGTCGGTGTTGAGTCAAGATCCACGCGAGGCATGAGTTTTATCGTCTGTCCCGTGCGCCCAAGCTCTATTTGGGATCCTTCAACAGTAGGACCCTGAACGGCATTATCGTATTTGAGCAGGGCGAATCTGTCAGGGTCGATGACGCGCAGCTGGGTCTGAAGTTCTGCCGGTCCGGCGAGAGAAATCATGTTGGGGCAAGTATCACTGGCGGTAAAGTTATGTTTGAAATTGGGATGATCTCGAACGAACTTTTGAATTCGAGGGTCGTTCACCAGACCGGGACCCAGTATCCAATACACCATGACAATGTCTTCAAGCAACTCGGCATTGGACCACTCGGGCCTCTCCATGAATGAGTCAATGAAGTCATGAGATTCGATATCCGCAACGATGAATCCTTTGCCAGGCATAGGATCGCCTAGAACCATTTCAGGTGTCACAGTAGCGCCACCTTCAACCTCGACAGAGAGGCCAGCGGCTAGTGATCTGAAATCAATAGGCTTGACACCCAACTGCTTTGCGACGGCGGCATTGAACTTGCCGCGACGCCCTTCAGATTTGACGATATATGACATAGATATTTCGCTATATGACGTCCGAGGAAGCGGCATACCCTTAAGATAGACTACTCGATCGTCACTAGTCTGGGAGATGTCATCGCCTTGGCTTGGTAACACCCAAACGATCTCGTCTGGGTTGGAAAGCTCAGCCTCTGTATCAGCTAAAGGGCCTTGATAGGGTATCAAGCCGGAATCCTTTCGTACAAATGCTAAATCTCCTGACTTGAGGAGACCGACCCTTTTAGGAACCATGTAGTCAACTTGAGATCCAATCTGCCTGTTAAACATCATTTTCTCCACCACGAGTTTTGCTAGTGATGGATCAGAAGGACCTTCAAGCGGCTTAAATATATCGGTCGCCTCCAAGCCGTCCTCATCAGGGCTCGCAAAACGGCGCTTCTGAGGACTGCTCGAGCGAGATCTGTGAACAGGAACCTTCCATACTCGGAGGCTATCGTCTTTCCAGTCCGGTTCGATGTTGCTCGGGTCGGTCGCTCTGGGATCTTCTCTGTGTTCGTGGACAGTCAAGTATACAGCCTGTCGCAGGATCACTGAGCGCAATGCAGCCAGAATGTGGGACAGGTTATCGCCTCCATGAATTCCCCAGGATTCGTTTGCACTGTTGTCGAGGCGTTTTTGACCCTGCTTTTCCCTCTTCGCGTTTGCATTGGCCGTCTCTTTTTTGGACGCTTCGACCGCACCAGAAACGGTGAGGGCAAACCCAAACAGGCCGCCGATCTGGTTCCAGCTCGTGCTACCGGTAAGGAACACCTGTTCTGTCTGTCCCATACCAGTGCGAGTGGTATTGAAGGCTCGCTGGGTGCCTTCGGCGACTCGGCCAAAGACGTATGCATGCTTCTCGTTATGGACGTAGAGACAGGTCCCTGGCGTGTCGGCCGTTGGAGTAGAAGCGATCTTGACTGTGCTCGTCATCTTGTTGGTGTCGGGGGCAATTGTGGTCCTTTGGGTGAGGTATTCGGACAGAGGCAAGCGCTTAGTTTCCCTTTGGGAGTAACTTCGAGAGAAGGTGCTAAAAGTGAGAAAGTGGGCGCAGCCCAATTGTTGGCTCTGAGAAGACAAGGAGATGGAGTTGGTGGTTTGCGACGGAGAGTAACGGGGAGTGACTGGAGAGGACCAATGGTTAAGGTTAATAAATAAATGATTGAGGCGGCGATAGCCCCATCGTTCCATGCCTATCAAAAAGAGGCGAATGTGTAGGACATGGATGCGAAGAGGGAGCCTGGTGTGCTTAGAGAGAGGCCATGTACTTGGCCGTGTTGCCCCACGATGACTTTTTTTTGGGCGTTGCGGCGAGTGACTCTGGTTATCGTTATCGCCTCTAGCGCCTTGACCGAGTATGCGCCTGTGGAACATTTTGCGACCAATGAGGACTACGTCATTTGGCTTACCTAATGCCAACTAGCCGCCTACCCTGGACGTTCATAATGCTGAGCCAGTCACCGGACAAGTTATTAATAGTGATTGTGGCTTTTTTGTCACTTTCTTTTCTTCTTTGACTCATCCTATCTGTGTCCGGTGATTTATATAGGAAGTGTGTTGGTAAGACTCACCGGAGAGGCTGTTTCTCTCGTAGTTTAGCCTATCCTACCTGAACCCTTGAGGTCTTGTTTGTACAGATTATAGAAAGAGGCGTATACTAACTTAGTTCTCAGTAACAATAAATGTGGGGTGCAATTACTCCGCTCCTATCAAGAGAAATCAAGAAAATGTTCACACTCGTACGCCTTGTGCCCTTTTGATCGATGCAACTCAGGCCGTAAAATGGTCAATAGTTAGCACAGCATCAAGAATAAGCTTAATTTGATAAATCAACAACCATAAATATGTAGTGGAGAAAGTTAGTCAAGCTTGATATTGCACCAGTTGTTTCGAGGATTACAAAATCATCAATATAGTCAAGCTTCAAATTAACTACCTATTGAGCTAACAGTCTAGTGTATACCAATATGAGAAACTCCCTCTTCTCATCTAATAATTCAGTCTTACTGAGGGTGTATAATGCTAATAGCGAGGAGACGGCTTTCTGTCGCAGCTCACATATCCCTGTTACATAGGCATATGTATGTGACTATAACTCGAGTGAAACTAATCGTTAGTTATCTGGGTAGTTGTTGTACATTGCCGAAAAGTGGAGGTCACTAGGCCTTTCCTCGATTCCTTCGCATCCTTTGAAAAACGAAGTAACCATCCGCTTGGTTTGATAAGCCATTCTGGGAAGATTTCGGTATCAATCTGTCGACATCTGCTTGTGATTTAAACCCTACAACTTCACACCATCTCTCCAACCTCCCCACAGCTGTTCTCTCACTCTTCTATGCATCGTCTACGCCGCTATCTTCCAGTTGGCAGCCTCAGACTCCCTTGCAGCACAACAACCACTGCTCCTTTCTCTTCTTCCTCCGTCAAGATGGTTGATAACATAAATCGCAACCCTCATCCGGATTTCAAAGTCACCGAAGCTTCTCGTCCAGATTGGGACACGTCTGTGCATGTTCGCTACACCAAGACCCCCGATCCTGAATGGAAATTCGGCTCTGGTGCGAACAACCTCGGTGCAAGGACACAATCAGAAGCGCATATTCCCATTGATCCCCATGAGCCCGGTCGCCCGGCGGGGTTCAACTACAAGTTCTTAATATCCTCTATTGTTCCGCGCCCCATCGCCTTCGTGAGCTCGCGCGCAGCCGATGGGTCGGCCGTAAACTTGGCTCCTTTCAGCTACTTTAACATGGTCAATCATGATCCGCCCATGTTTATTGTCAGCGTTTCAG